ATAATAAGTCATGGTGGAACAATAGCGTTATCTATCAGATTTATCCGAAAAGTTGTGACTTAGATGCCGATAGAATAGGCGACTTAAAGGGTAAGCACATACTAACTGTGTCTTACTGTTATGTCTTGTTTAATGAAGAATAATGAATTAAATTATTAAATTAATATATAACAATTACAAATTCTATTGGATTAATTATTGTACAATTTTATATACCTAATCTGAAAATGTTTATCTGAAAATTGAAAGTATTCGAGCATAATAACAATGACGATAATTAAATCTGTATTTTTTGCATTGTCAGATAACTTCGAAGTTGGATTATATTGCGGAAACTGGCATCAATGCGATTTGGCTGTCGCTCATATATACAAGTTCTATGGTTGATTTTGGATACGATATATCCGATTTTGTTGACATCGATCCAATTTTTGATTCATTGAAAGATTTTAAAACTCTTCTGGCGCACGCTAAAAAGCTCAGTTTAAAAGTGCGATGACTAATATCTTGCACCTTTATAAATATAAATTTTTTGTGTTATAATTACATTTAAATATAAAATATCACTAAAGTTTTTTATCTCTGTTTATTTGATTTTATAAAAACATTTTTTATTATTTTTTATTTTTTATTGCTACTTTGGAGTTATTTTACAATATTCTTACAGATGGTTCTCGATTTTGTGCCGAACCATACATCTGATAAGCATATATGGTTCCAAAAAGCTCTTTAAGGTCATAAAAAGTATAATTATTATGTATGGGCAGACGGCAGAAATAATGACGATAAAACATCGCCTAACAATTGGATTAATGTATTTGGTGGATCTGTGTGGACTTATGTAAAATCACTAAATCAGTGGTATTTACATCAATTTGAATATAGACAACCGGATTTAAATTTCCGTAATTCTGCAATAAGAATGGAGATGTTAGTAAGTGTAAATAAATTATTATTAATTAATTTAAATTATTTTTATGTTACTATGTTTGCGATGGGGAAAGTAATGGGATACCATTTACTTGGGATTGTAATTATCCCAAGTAAATTTTTTAATTTGACATGAAGTCGGTTGCAGGAAAGGATCACAATCCCCAGTAATAGGGCAACGACTGATTGATTGATTGTTATTATATTGTATTTTTTTTTGAAAGATACTCCTATAACTCAAAACACTTAATTTTATTTATTTTACTGATAAAAGTAATAAATTATGATTTACAATTTTAATAAACTATAATAATAAATCTTACTGCATATATTAATAATATATTACTTTAAATACGAAGCGTCACTACGGTCTGAATGTTAAAATGTTGATTCAGACTATAGTGGCACTTCATATTTAAAGTAACGTATCTAAGATAAACAGTCTTATTTCCAATCTTATTATTGTATATTAATAATTATTAAATAAATATATTAATATTTTATTAATATGAAACATAAATAAAAAAAACTTTAAGAAATTGTCAAATATTAAAGTGTATACAAACGAAGATTAATAGAAATTAAAACACAATAATTGGAACGCTAATTAATTTGTGTAAAAGCATTTCTTATTCAAATTATTTGTTTAATATAAAATTTAATATAAAACTTAACATAAATTTTTCTGCTGTTTGTGATTACTGTTTTTTTTTATTTTATAATATGGAAGTATAATGAAATAAATTAGTTCAATAAGTTACATAATTCATTATTATAAAAATTTATTGGTCTTAATTTTTTATTACACAATACCTTTAATTTTTTAATTTATTATTTGAACTATTTTATTTAACATTTATGACATATATTGTATGAAAAATGTATAAATATAAAAATGAGTTTATATCTATAAAATGTAAATTCGTGTAGATTTTAATTAGAAAAATATATATAAAAACGATTAATAAAAAGAATCACAGCAGAATTATCACAAATTTCAAAAACATTTTTGTTTAATTACAGAAAGTTTTAAAATTTTGGTTGGATTTGGGTGTAGACGGATTCGGCGTTGATTCGGCTCCATTTATTTATCAGAATTGCGAGATGAACCTAAAAGTGGTGTAGACGGTGCAACGTCGCGAAATTATAAGTATTTGGAGCACAATTACACCATGAATTTAATCGATACTTATAAGTTGCTTAGAGAATGGAGACATTTTATGGACTCATATGCTTTAAAACATAATCAGGATCAGAAGGTGAACAATATACGCGATATTTTGTTTATTTTTTTTATTAAAACTATTTATTGTGTTTTATTCTTTGTGCATGTTTTCTTTCTGATTTAGTTGATTGGTGATGGAGGCATACACCGATCCTAAGCATACTATGCAATATTATGATTACGACTTTCTTCCACTTAATTTCCATTTTATTACAAATCTTAATCCAAAATCTGTGCAAGAATTTAAACAACAAATCGATCTGTGGATGAATTCGATGCCAAGAGGTAAAATTGCAAATTGGGCGGTACGTAGTTATATGAATGAAATTATCATTATCTTAATGAAAACATAAATTTAATATTATACATATATATTTAATATTTTTATTGTTTGTTACAAAACGCGAGATGCTGTTGTAAATTATTATGATATAATGGCGATGTGTGAATCTTGTCTTAGTTGTCTTATTTTAAAGCTAAATATACCACAATATGTGCGTTGCATTATATTTTAAAGAATATATATAGTATTTAAATTAGTATTTATAGACAAATATTTTAAAGACATTTTTTTATTATGAGAAAGAAACAGGAATACTGTGAAAGAGTTATGAGAAATTTTTATCTAAATGTGTATAGGTGACCAGTTTTATCATTTAAAATCTATAGAATAGAAAAGATCCAAATTGCAAGTTATTTATTTTATTCCTTTATAAATTAAAGAATCTATATAATATAAGAAATTCTAAAAAATCTTAATTGATGAAATCTTTATTGATGAATCTATTGCATAAGAGCAGATTTATCTTCCATTTCATAAAAATAAGAATTTCCTCATTTTTTTTTATAAGCAACAACATAATATAAATCTTTTTTCAGATGAGAAATCATGATAATTCCCGAGTTGCCTCTCGTTGTCCTGATAGATCGGATCAAATGATCATGTTGTCTATGGTCTTCCCAGGCTTGGTAGTGACATATAACGGTGATGAAATTGGCATGGTGGACAAGAGAGATATATTTTGGGAACACATACAGGACCTTCAAGCGCATATTGCGGGTAAAGAGCATTATAAGAGTGTGTCTCGTGATTCTCAACACACGCCATTCCAATGGGACGCGATGAAAAATGCAGATAAAGGACAAATTTGTGTCCATCACAGTATTTAGTGAAAATAAATAAAATATTTTCCTAAAATCCTGCTATTTAATTATTTATTATTACAGCACATTCGACGTGGCTTCCGATAAATCACTAAACTATAAGGAATTGAATCGGACGAAACAGATGAAAGTCAAATTGCGCTATAAAATTTACAAGATCTTAGTCCACATGCACCAAACTGAACCGGCTCTTACTGAAGGAAGTTATAAATCAATTACGACAAACAATGACACTGTTCTAGGTATAATCCGAAACAATGGTAGCCGCGTCGTGTTGCTTTTAATTAATTTCAGTGATGATGAACAAGTTATCGATTTGTCACGAAAAAAACTTCCTCCGATATTAAAGGTCGAAGTGTCTAGTATGGGTTCTAAAGTGACACAGTGAGTACAATTTATGCATTTTCTGAAATATAAATAGTTAATTAATGGCAAAAATAAATAATTTTTATTTTTTAATTAGTTGTTTATATAGAAATTGTTCTCAGATAGAGCTACTACTGCTATAAAAAATATTTCTTCAAATAATATTTTGACAAGAAATTGTTTATAGAATTTTTAAAGAAATTATTTTTAAAAATATTATTTTATAATGTTGAAAAGAAAAAATATATATATTTTTAATATAAATCAATTAATTCTATATAAATTATTTTTATATAAATTCTGTATAAATTAATTAGTATAATAATTCATGTTTGTTCTTTTGCATTTATAGGAATTTGGTTGATGTGAAGAAATTAATTCTGTCTGCTAAAGCTGCTGTAGTATGCATATCCATATTAATGCTATAAAGCTGCAGTATACACGTCTATAGAAATACATAACTTTCTAATTATATTTATCTACTATATATTCTAGAAAAATTGTTAATTGCATAATTATAACTGCACTTGTAAATTGTAACTTTTCTTGCAATAAAAAGATATAACTTGAGCAAGCAATTCTTGAATAAAAAGAATTATTGTACACTTTTGTCATATTTGTGTATATAATTGGAATTTTTGTCTAATTTGAAACTCTGTTCGCATATTCTGTTTTATTGATTTATTATTTCAAATTATGTAAATATAAATAAAAAAATCTTGATTTTAGCATATGATTCAGTAGATTTGTATCTACTAAATAATGTTAAATATCGAGCAGCAAATGTTCATGATTTCATTATGTCATGAATTTATAGTATGGATTTTGACGAGAAATATTTTTATTGGTATTTATTGAATCATTATAATATCGATTATTTTGCTCCATCTTAGCATTGAATCATAATTAAAAAATCGTTTTAATTAAATTCGTATTGCTTAATTATTTTACATATTCGGTGTTACAATTTTTAAGTTACATAAGAAAAATTTTATTTATTATTTTATTCACAATAAAAATCTTTGATTAAAATGTAGATATCTTATTAATTTACATTTTTTATCCAATTAAATATATAATATATTGAAATATTTTTATTGAATAATTTATTGTTAGTTGGCATTGTATCGACTGCCAGTAGGTGTACGGTGGCGAATTTCTTCACGAAATTAATGAATGTGCCGGTAAATCGAGACGTATTGATCGCGATAAACGCATGCGCCTTTATTAATTCGATCGTACGTCTGGAGGGGTAATGCAACGTTACGTGCCAATGGGCCCTGAGGTAGCTGCAAAGCTCGCGATAATACAAGTCCATAGTAGTATGTCAAGAGCAGTGTTGCACGTGTTTGTACAAACGTTTGACGAAGGTGACAGTGATTGTCTGTGATCCCGGACTTTATTTCTCCACGGTATTTAATTGGAAGAATATATCGAAACTCAAATTATTATCTCGTAATAAGCTCTAAGATATGTATTGACTTATTTTATTTTTTATCTATTTATATTGTTTTCTACAATAATTTTTTAAATAGATATCTATGAGTTTAGAATCTATCAATGGAATATTTTTTACTTTGATCAATAAAACGTAATTTATAGAACGATAGTATCGTTTGTTTTGACAGCTGTGCTCATTGTATTATTTGCAAATTATCTATTTTTAATGTTCTTCATTTAATATTTATTTACTTTCAATTTTTTAATTAATATTATTTACTATATTATTTAATATATTATTTATTAATATATCTTTTTTAATATATTATTTACTTTTAATTAAAAAATATTTATAAATTTTTGAACTGTAAATTATCATTTTTTACACTGAATATCAAATTCGATTACTTAAGATTTAGTAACATTTTTTCAAATAAGTAAATATATTTCAAGCTTTCAATCTTTGCATGATTTTATTGTATAGAAATGATTGATGTAATATTAAGATATCGATATTTTTTAAGTACGAATTTTAGATAAAAATTTAGCTAAGCTTACGTGTACTGTTATTTATTATCTTATATGAGTGAGTTATTTTATATACATCTAATTAATTTTTTTATTGGATAACTTTATAATAAATATCTTTACACTAATTAAGTAACAATTTTATTAACAATTCTTTTATAATTGATATAACAATTAATTCAATAACATTGACGATTCTTATTTTATTATATATTTGATATATAATAAAATAAGAATCGCATATACAATATTTAATGTGCAAATCACGTATACTTTAAAACAAATTGTATTTTTTCACTAACAGAGTAAACAACACATGAAAGTCTATTTAACATGAATATTTCTGTCATATTGTTTTTAATTTATGTTTTCTAATTTTTTAATTTCCATTTTTTTAATCCAGTGCGTTTGCTATAAGCTAAAACTACTAACAGTATATGGTGTGATGAGTCGAAATTGTGATTAAATTGTTTGTTATTATAATTAGTAAACAATTAATATTTAAGCATTTGTAAATCTAATTTAATACTAATGTATAAATTTTCTAGCAAGTTACTATTAATGTAATTATTAATTTATTGAGTGTTAACGTAATAATTCTTTGAAAAGGGATAAATGCAGATTATATTTGTTTAAGTATCCTCTTTTGTAGCATACCATACAAATTTTACATTTTTATACTTGTATAGTATAATGCAAACATACAAATTAACATGCAAAATGTTGGAAAATATTTTTTAAGAGCCGAGAAAGTTAATGTATATATGAATTAATGGAATTTAAAATATTTCAAACCAATGCAAATTTTAGTTTGCATTTTGATGAATATAACCATGTAGCTAATTTGACACGCAAATTTATTATCGCAACATATTAAGCGTTATTTGCGTTTCTCGTTTAATATTTTTGCGATATTAATTTTTTGCATGTGGAATATATTGGATCATATTTTATATTAATAATTTACTGCTCGTCGAGCTTCGACAAAATCGTCATCCGTTCTATTTGCAGTTATGTTTAGCTACATTGACCCAATGCATTCGTTTTGCTATACTGCTGAGTGACAAATATCTTGTTACACTTGCGTTTATCATCCATATTTTTGTTGTTGTATTTACAAATGCGCTGAAGAACTTCTTTTTCCTTTTTCTGTCACTTTTTCTTTTGTGATTTTAATATTTAGAATGTCTGCATGTCCCGCATAGCGCAGAACTGCATAATATAGATAACGCTGCATTGCAGTTGTGTTCCATTGTGAAATATTGTCGTCCACATGCCGTTCGATATCGTTCACTCTTGCATGATCTGCTTTGTTAATAATTTTTCATTGATATTTGCTTGCCACTGTTTATGTGCCGATCATTGTTCCTCGTAGTATTTTATTATACATATAACTTTATGTTACTGATATAAAATTTTATATCTCCTAGTATGTATTAATATGCATCTAGTCTCATTTTACATTTTAATATTATCAAGAATATATTCGATGTATCATTGTCAGTATATTATTCTTCGTACATACGTCTTAATAGATAAGGATGTAAACTAATAAAATTATTTTCTAGTTCTTGTTCTTTAAATCGTAATTTTCCTTTATTTTCTATTGTTTATTTTATTATTTTATTTCTGGAGATATTTATTTTTAAAAAGAATAAATATGCTCTAAGAAAGAGAAAGAAAATATTTAATTTACAATAAATTTTAAATAAATTTTGAAATATCTTATAGTTTTTTGAAATACATTTACTTTGCGTTAATGATTTTTTTATTAAATGTTGAATTTTTCGAGTATTAATTTATGATTTCCTTTCAAGATTTACAATAAATTTTAAATAAATTTTGAAATATCTTATATTATAATTTTTTGAAATACATTTACTTTACGTTACTGATTTTTTTATTAAAATGTTGTGAATTTTCGAATATCCATTTATGATTTCCTTTCAAGATTAAGACGTTTAACTATATTTCAAATATAGAGATATTAATTATTGAGATATTGATATAGAATTCCTAATGGATATTATACATTTTGGCCTCGCATCGCCCACATTAATCGGAAATTCTCGCGGCGTCGAACTTGCTGTAGACATGTGGACGCAATCAATGATCTATCTTTAGACATTATGAAAAGAGTTTTATTTGCAGTTTTGTATGATAAATATCGATGATATTGCGCATTTTTTACTACAATTATTTCTATATTAAATGTTACATTTTATAAATTTTCTTATTAATTGTTATAATATATAAAATAAAATATAAAATATTAATAATATTTTAAAGTTAATCGGAAAATTTTGTAATAGAAAATTTTAACAATAATGAATAAATTAAAGACTTTTACATCTATTTATATACTAAATTCTTTTGTTTGTTAAAATTATTTAACTATATGTGTCAATTGTATAGTTAAGATGTAAATTAAATTTTTATTAAGCGAAACTTGTATGTTTTAAAGAGCATTGTTATTTTGAATGATTATTATTTATTGTTATATGTTGAAATTATGTAATTATATAGCGGTAAAATTCTTACAAATGCAAACGGTTAGAATATAACAAATTGGATTTTACCAAAAATTTGTATGCAGTGATTAAGAATAGCCATAAAGGATATCCGTGTTGATTTTATATCATTTGCGGTTACCACAACGTAAGATTATATAAGTCTGTTCAGTTTAACATTCAGTCAATAATAGATGACCATTCAGTAACCGATTTTCATGATTTAATTTTATTAGTTCAACTTGTTTTGTATCATTTCTTTATTTATCGACAGACATTGGAGAAAGATGTATTTTATATATTCACGGCAACATCGAGAATATAAGTTATTCTGTGTTTAAAATAAAATGTATATTTATATATTCACATATCATTTTTCGGAAGCTCTCGGAATAAATAAATCGTTTTAAAGATTCTTTGTCAGCAAAAAAGTAGAGCACGATATAAATGGAATGCCCTTTCCTAGTGATATGTCGCGCGTTTTTCTTTTTAGTGTAAGTGTAAAGCATGAATGCAAAAGGTCGTATGTAATTAATGTAATGTGTAATTGGACGAATGAGCAAAACACATTTAGATTTATTTTGTATGTGTGTGTGTGTGTGTGTGTGTGTGTGTGTGTGTGTGTGTGTGTGTGTGTGTGTGTGTGTTGTTGAAAAATTAATTGATAAACTTTTACTCTGGTAAAAATAAAAATTGGAGCATAAGTCAAATGTACGGGAAAAGTAACAGAAGCGTAAATGAAGCTTTTAGGAAACAAAAATTGAAACAACGAAAACGTAAAAGCTTCTTTTATATTTCGTTTCAATTTTCGCTTTCTAGAAGTTTGATTTACGCTTCTCTTTCTTTATGTTAGATTTACGCTATGATTTTTATTTTCGCCAAAATATATATTCTTATTTACTTATTATTTCTAAACATGCACTAGGCGATTTTTTATGGAAATTTACGGGTTAATAGAAATTTATGACTTTCCGAATTATATATAATTATAATCAATAAAATAATTATAATCAAAACGACATTTTAATTTTTTTAATATATAACAGATTTGGCATAAAAATATTTGTAAAGCAATTAATAATGTATTTATATATGTAAAAAACAAGAAATAATAATAACATAAAATTTTTTCGTATGACAGTACATAAGATTTCACATCATTAATCAGCTATTTGTGATAATAAATTGTACGCAATGCAAATTATTATTTTTTTATTCTTTTTGCATACATAATTTGTTTTTGTGTGTTTTTTATTTTATTTTGAATAAAATGGCACGAGTTCAAACAATTTAAGTGACCTCGAAATTTTATCACTTCCAGTCGACATATCTTTTTTTAACTCCCTTTTTACTACGATTCACCGTTATCATTTTATGCATACACGTGTACATAGATGAGTAGGTGGCCTATATACATCGGAAATGAAGCTTACGTTTCTTATCTGAGATTACTTTCAGCCTTATTCGCAAGGACTATATTGAGCCTACAACTAACCGACGATAGGTCGCGAGTTTCGCAAATTACTTCGCTGAAATGTCGAAATGTGTAATAGGAATCCGGTGCAAACTACTTCAATGAATTAGAAACTTTTCATAATCGGCATTCAAACAAGGTCTGTCGAATAAGACCTAATTATTAGAATTTCTCCTTGTTATCATAACGCTTGAAATTTATTATTAATAAGAAATTTATTATTAATAAGAAATGAAATGATATTATTTATATATTTCGAAAAAGTCTATAGTAGCATAACTTTTATTTTTATTAATTTTCATTTTTAGTTTACGGAAGATCTTACTTATTATAAAATTTAAAAATTTGATTGCTTTTTATTTATTTATAACTTACAAGTGCACAAGTTACTTTGTAAATTAGGAAAATTTGTAAAAAAATACAATATCTAACTTTATATATTAAACTAATTTTTATATTTTTTAATTTTTCACTTTTATAAGAGTAAGAGTATTATTCATATTTTGCATATAAACTATCAAAAAAGCAAAAATTGAATCTTTAAAAGCTATACATTAATTTAATAATCAATTCTGTGATATTATCTTGGATTTATTCTATTTGTAGCATTAAACACTCGTTGCTTTTAATTAAATTTGCAAACATATGATAAATATATATATATAAAAATATATGATAATTGTGTTTTCAAATACACACAGCATAGCAATCTTCATCTGTTGTATGTAATTATCTATATTGAACAACATTATAATTTTAATTTTTTTTGCCTTTTTTATGTCTTTTAAATTTTAAGTACCGTTATTATCAGTTATTAATTGATTCATTATAAAATGATTGTACAAATAATTTATTGTTTAAGTACGAGAGATGCCGACAGCATTACTAAATTATGACTCTTGAAAATATAGGGTTAATTGCGATTTATGTATGATGTACTTATTCTAGGATAGGATGGTAGATATTACAACAGCTTTGCCATCCAATGGAAGGGCGTCATTAATTGGACGCACCAGAGGTGCTCTTAGATCTGTGCGAACCGCTCTAGGAGGAAGCGGGGAATATCTTCAGGGCCTAGGGAACAGAATAGGATCTGCTCTTAGTAGTAGCTTAGAAGAAAGCGAACTGACTACAACCCCTTCTACGCCATCATCATCTCCGCAAGCACCTGCATTGCAGCCTATCAAATCAGAAGAACAATTAGGTCGGCGAAAACTCAGGCTTCCGAGGTAAATAAACGTTTTGTTATCCTATAACTTTATAACAATTATGGTACAACATTAGATCATGTACGTTAAGAGCGTAGAAACTATAAATTGTAAACTTGGCAGTGTTGAAACTGTAGACTCGACAACAATGTTATTCAACAAGATGAGTTCAATGTTTTTAATTGTCTAAACTAACAATTCTTTATTTGTAGAGTTGAAATCAATTTCTATACTATTAAAATATGCGTAAATAATTTTTTATACGCACTTATCTGTTCTAACCGATTATTATAAATATATTTTTTGTATCTTTTATAAATATTTATAAATATTTAGAAAAACTATGTCTAAAATATAAAAAAGATTTAAAGTAATACTATATTTTTAATTTATTATATTTTCTTCATATTTGTTATTATACAGCTTAAATTTCATTTGCTATACAATTTGCCGAATTAATATTAGGTATTTGCTAGTCTATACATGACATACATACGTAAAATCGTATAATTTTCTTGTAATGTAAATTTTAATTATATGTGCAATTCTTAGTAAACTATGTTGTATGCACTATAGACCGGATTTACACTTGTTAGAGAAGGATAATATTGTAATGTTCGCTACTCATGAATATTTATACTGCGACATGCAATATTTCATTCGTAGATTTGGCACGGGATTATCCTATGAAGATTATGAGGCAATAGCGCGACACAAATTAGAACGGCAGGGAAGCGCCAATCTTTCCAGAACACGAAAATATCCGCCTGGGATGACTTACGAAGAGATAGCATCTTCCAGATCAGTCTCAAGTAAGAAACAGGAGAATCGAATTGAACAGGACGATATTAGTCCTGATCGCGACAGCCAGGAAAGTATAGAGCCCATTCAGGAGCAGGACATCAAAGCGACCGGGCCCGATCCTTACGAGAAATTGAATTATAAAGCAGGTGATTAGTTCTCACCTCCAATTATCCGTGACAGACGCCGACCAAGTCGAAGTCAATAACTCTTTTCGTCTTCGATTGCTATCTTTCTCTCGCTCGCGATTGTTGTGATCATGCAGATCGAGACTCGGCTGGAAATAATATATTGTGTTCTTCTTTTTTTCACGAAGCGAGGGCGCCGACCCGCTATCAGACGGTTGTTTTCCGTTTAGGTAAATGTAACAGTCAGTGTGGACTGCCCCTGTGATTTCACCCGCGTGTCTCCTCAGTGTATTACACGTAGGGATGCTTCAGCTTAGAATATCAAGACTTTTACATATTTAAATACGTGCATGTGAAATATCAATTGGTATATATTACTTAATACATACTCTGTTAAAAAGTAATGATATTGTACAGTATTTATAAGTTTTTGATACATAAGGAAAAATACTTTTAAAAATGTAAATGTAATTTCATATTAATAAGAATTAGTAACTGTCCCAATTACTGTGCCTATCCTTATTAATGTGCTTTTGTATTTCGATAAGTCATAAAGAAAAGCATAAATAAATAAGAAAAAATATTTCTTTTTTATTAAGTTAAATTATTAATGCGTACGATACCCCGAAGATAATATTTTATTTTTTGAGTATTAAAATATTTTAAATATTTTTATAAAAGATATGAGGAATTTATGTGAATCTAGTAATACGTACCGCAAGATTTTAAGCTTATCCTTATTAACGTGCCTTGTATTGGAGCTGAGAACGTTATGTTATGAGTGTACTATAAAATAAATATAATTGAAATAATGATTTATGTAATATTAACATAAACAATTAGCTTAAATTTATTAGAAACTATATATTAAAATGAGTCAAATGTGGATAGGCACACAAATTGGGGACACATTAATAGGGCCAGTGCTGCTTAGAGGACTCATTAATAAGGACAAAAATATGTTCTCTATTTTTGTCAAAAACATTATAAAGTATTAACATTTTTTAGATTAAAGAAATATTATAAGAAACAGAAATAGTTGAAAAACCAATATTGATTGCAAGCAGATAAAATTAAAGCTATGATATTTAATAATTAATTCAGTAATAAGCAAATTGCTAAAAGGTACATTAATAGGATCAATTATCTTATATAATTCTTATCAAAATAAAAATTACATCCATATTTTTAAAAATAGAAAAGATCAACGCAAATAATATTGTTTTATAATAATACATAAAATATTTTTTGAAAATTTCATTAAAAATTATTACATCTTTAATAACAATTTAAAATATTAACAATGTTATATTCAATTACGATTTAATATTTTTATTCAAGTATTAATGTACACGTATAGCTCGTGTAAAATTAGTTATTGACATTCAGATAATATATTATCTAAACAAAGTCTCGATATTTAGAAGCTATTGTAATCTTATCACACACCGAATTTCTGACCCTTCTTCCTTAGCTAGATGTGATTAGCGAATATTAGTGCAATCGATATGTTCGCGTAACCTGGTGTTCGAATATTCGTGGGTCGATTGCAATGAAACCTTATATATGGTTTGACCCGGAGATATTGATTTTCATAATTAAACGTTTCATGATGCATCAAGATATTTAAATAGATTAAAAGATCTAATTTGTTTTAGTTTTTTATATTATTTAAATTATGCAATGTATAAATAAAAAACAAAAACTTCTTTTCATCCAATTTCATAGCATTTTTTGTAAAAAATATTATTTTAATTCGAATATAATTTTAGTGTATGTTATATACATACTTTCTAATTTTATTCCGAGTTTATTTATATATTATATGATTTTTTTTTACGGTAAATAATAAATATTGAGAATGTAAATAAATGCACCTTAAATTCATGCATCTTAATAATAATAAAAACAATATTTAAAAATGAGAGACAAATTGGTTTATATATATATATAAAAAACATATTCAAAAAGAAGTAAGAATAATAATCTATGATTAGCACAACCTAAATTATTGCATCTTTATATTTCTTCGAAATTAAACTACAATAATATATACAATAATATATACAAAATTTAATTGTGTATTTAATTATGTAAATTATAAAGTTTAAATAAAAAGTCATTAAATGAAAAGACATATTGTTTTGTTATATACGTATTCTTTATGAAAATAAACTTAGAATAAATTTTGTTTTGGAGAAGGTGCGATTAAATATTAGCGTATTTTAACTTTGTTATTCGTGATCATTTTTTTGGACGTGTTATATATAAAATACAATTCGGCACTTGTATATTCGAACATGTCGCGTCGTCATACTTGTAGTTCCTTGCCAGACATTGCATCCCTTTGGTGAAGATGTTGTTACTTGTGTATATGTGTGCATACTTTCACACGAATTACTTATTGCACCCCGATTGTATTCATAGTTCAAATAAAAAATCGTTCTACGTGGGCGGAAAATATTCCCTTATGTACACTAACAGTTGCGATAAATAGACACACTTATCGTCTACTGGATGCTTCAGTTATTTCCGCAACATTGAGCGATACATCGCAAAGATGTGTAGGTGTAGACAGTTAAGTAAATATGTAACTTTCAGTATCATGTATTATAACAATAATCATTTGCGAGTGTGCCTCGTTGTATTTTGGATCATTTTACTTTGAAAAGTTTCTTAATATTAACAAGTCAAGTGATTGTGATAATTTTACGTCTCATTGATGGGATATGAATAATAGCTCTAGGCAAATAATTCTAGCATAAAATATTTATTTGCATAGACTTCATACTACATTAGTGCATAAAATTAATAATTATTAATTATATTTATATTAATTTTAATATGTATGAAAGAGGATATTGTTTTGATTCAAATATAATTTCAGTACACATATATCATATGAAAGAGGATATTGTTTTGATTCAAATATAATTTCAGTACACATATATCATAGAAAGCTTTTTAATATTATTCCGGATTTATCTATATGATTTTTTTCTTCATGTTTTGCCAAATATTAATTTGAAACTGGCGAAATATAATTATGTAAGAGAGACGGACACTTTAATTGTATAGTTTAGTCAACTTTTTATCTCTTTGTCATTTATTTTTGTCCAATAAATCATTTAGATTAGATTTTATTGCAAGTTTAGGTGTCGCCCGTGACGCACCATTGCTTGACACCATTAATTACAATCGTGTTAAAAAGATTATACTTAAACATATATTTATCACAAGGTAATTTTTTATTTTAGACATGCCTTGCAGCAGTGATTCTACGAGTGATCAAGATGGATACGGACCCAGCACTAGTTTGGATTCTAACATGGATGGTCGCAGAATATGGCAAAGATCAGGTATCGATTATAATTCTTATATTTATTTCATATTTATTTGAGAAATTATTTTAACTATTTACAAATTAAGAATGTTTATCATAAACAAACATAAATTACAACATTTGTAACAATTACTGCAATATAAACTTATTATTGTTTAGGTTCATCGGGGTCTGTTCAGTCCTGGGCTTCGAGTTTATCAGCTGATAGTCAATCGGAGGAAGCTGCCGCAGACTTCATGAAAGCTTTTGTACCTTTACTATTCGATGCGCCTAATACTATCGATCAAGAACAAAAGGCTAATTTTGGGCAGATGGTTTTGGTATTTATCAAATGTTATAAAACATTTTAATAGCATCATTTTCATTAATAATAAATGTAAAATATTAATAATATTAATCAATGAAGATATCAATCAACAATATGTAAACATAATATGAAAAGTATTAAAATCAGTAGAAAGATACATGTATTTATTTTGACATTTATAATTTAATGCAATAATAAATTTACAGACAGAATCGGGAAGAATATGGTTCTCGAGGGTAGTAAATGCGAGAAGAGCACGTGCATGTGTCACAGAAGCTTCATTTTATTCTTTGGCGCAGCATTTTGCAGTTGCGTTGTTTGAATGCCATGAAGCGGATGATTTTGCCCCCGCTAAAAGTCTCATGAACATGTGCTTCACTTTCTATCATGAAGGTAATGAGAAACTAAGAGAGAAAAGACTAAGATTTTGTAAAAACTGTTAATTTTTAAATCTTGCGATAATTTTAAAATATTATAGAAATATTTTAAAAAGAAGAATTATAATATCAAACATTAAAAACTAATATAGTGTTACTTAATATAACGCTGTTATGTTATATTAAATAAATATTTAAGATACTTAATTTTTAAACTGAATTATAATATATTTCTAAAATATATACATATGATTTTATACTATTAGATAATTACTACTTTTACTTTTTATTAATTTGTGAATCATCTCTTATCATCTCTATTATTTATTAATGCGTCTTTGAGATTGTATATTTATTTTATTATGTGTTTATTAATTGTATATTTATTTTATTACTACTTTTACTTTTTATTAATTTGTGAATCATCTCTTATCGTCTCTATTATTTATTAATGCGTCTTTGAGATTGTATATTTATTTTATTATGTGGTTTTAGTGGAAGTTCCTGGATTAGAGCCTTACCGTGAATATTTATACACACATTTACGCGTTCAACCAATATGGACATCTATGAGATTTTGGACAGCTGCTTTTTTTGACGCAGTACAATGTGAGCGAGCGTCAAGACCGGTACCACCTCGACCGAAATCCTTAGATCAGGAAAGTATCGCCGCTGAAGATAGAAAGTTTCAAGCAAACATTGTCTTTGGACAGTTAGGGTAAATATTAATATTTAATCTATATTTAAATATTTTAGATATATTTTTATTTTAATGATATTTTCAGGACTTTTACTTGCAACATGCATGCTTTCGGCTTGTCACGAGCTTTATGCACAGAGTTTCTCCGGAAACAATGTATTATAGCGAATTTAACTAAAGGTAATTATTCATATTCATTTTATTCGAGTTTTTCTGATTAGAAAGATTTAAAGTTTAAAATAAGGGCCGATTTTTAATAATGGAGAATTTATTTCATTTTGTTTTTTCAGAACAAGAGAAAATGCTACGAGATAACATAGATCGAATGTTTGATGAGACCGAGCCATGGCGGTAGTTTAGTTTGAATAAACAGATAAGATTGAATTTTGAAAATTGCTTTAAAGAAACATTTTGCAATGTTTCTTCTTGGAAATATTTTCGACGAAATCGAATTGTCTTCGAACGCCGAGAAAGCGATGAAGTCAATTATAAAAACAATTTTGTAAATAACGTTGATGTAAGTCGACTTTTGTTGAATCTTTCGCGGTATTCGACGCTGGACACGTCAATTCCTAAGATGTAAATACTGCACAGATTCGCGCCTTAAATTGTGAAAAGTATATTGAATCTTACGTTTCTGAAAACTATTAAAAGATTACGAAAGATTATTCCAAAATTGCTGAAACGAAAATTGAGGAAATTGATCCTATAATAGGGATTAAGAAAAATTAAAATTTGAAAATTGGGATTACAAATATTTTGAAATTTTTTAATAAATTATTAATATTTACATAGCAATGATAAAGTTAAGAATAGAAATGACAATAAGGAACTGCATTTGAAAATGAAATTGCATTTGACAATTCAATTGAAGTGTCATTTGTTGAGTGTAATTTATTATATTGAGGAGAAATGAAAAGAAGAAATATTATTAATGATAGAATGCACATAATTCGATATACTTACACAAATAATTTTTAATACATCAAAATTTATTTTTAAATAAAATCTTACATTTTAAATAAGGTTTCGTTGAATATAACCAGTATAACTCTTCTATCACATTTTGCGCGAAAGATTTTTTTTTATTATTTTGTTATTTTGTTATTACAAAATATAATCAAGTTTTGATGCATCAAGAATTAATTTTAATAGTAAGATTAAAGTTTATAGTATTGCTTATAGTTACAAATTTACTGCTTTTAAGTCTAAAATTAATGACTAATTATAAAAACGGATAGGTATTACTTTATATTGCTTCTTTTCTAATGAACGCAAGACAATTTCAAGTCTTACATGCGTAATTTTGAACTAATTTAACAATTTCTGAAAATTATGCATTTTGTAAGTGAAGCTTATAAACATATAAAGAACATGTTTTATCTTTATTGTTAGGTAGAAGTATTAATTTTTTTTTTTTAATAGCGAATCAGTATATGTAATCGACAATTTGCGCATTCCGACACCTTGTTATCACACATCATGCAATGTAAATAATTTTTAGGGAAAAGCTTGTACCTAAACACATATCATCAAATGCAAATTAATACGCTCTATTTTATTTTATACATATACATATTATGTCTATCTAGAATGTCTGCAAAGAAATGATGAACTTAAAAAGTACTAAATAAAGATAAATAAATTTCATTCGCATTTTAAAATCTTTTAATAACAAATGAATAGTCCCTTTTATTTTATGTAGAGAGACCAACGCTAGTAGACTCATTTTTCAAATGAAATTAAGAGACATCGAAAAAATGAATTCTACACCGGTTACTACAAATATTTGACTATCTAATAATATTTTAATAATAAAGGAAAACTGATATGAAAAAAATTTTTTTAATACATTCTATCTGATTCAGTCCTCTGATCTAGCCCTGGGACCGGAGTAAGATGACTAAATGATGTGGAGTAATTTGACTAATATTAATAATTAATATTAATAATTAATATTAATAATATTAATAATT